GGAAGTTAAGTTCATCTTTCAGGATGAATCATATTCTGTCCTTCACCACAAGAAACATGACATTTTTCATTATGTCATCCTCTGTCCTTAAAAACTTTAAATGGCTCCTTGCCGTCAAAATGACAAAGTTCAAGGCCTTATAGTCTGGCGTTCAAGGTTCTCTATAGTCCATTCTCAGTCTATTTTCTAACATTATCTCTCAGCCTCTGCTGTATAATCCTCCCCTCTAGATCACTGGTTCCCCAACGTTTCCCCAAAATGCTTGAGGATTCCTATATCCAGGCCTTTGCTCAAGATGGTTCTCTGGCTAAAGTTCCGTGTTGATCTTGGGACGGCCAATGCCAGGCCCAGGACTTGCTACATATTTGGGACTTAGAAATATTTACTAAATAATGAAAGTGTAAATATGACAAACATCTGAAAACCAACTTTGTGTCTTTCATAATCTGACCTAATGTGGAACGCATAAAAGTGATTCAACCAGGTCAAGTAGTATAGGTGCCATGGGGACAGCATAGTATTTCTTAGATGCTAATATACACATTGTTTTCACCTTTCAATGTTTTAGTGCCACTATATTTAGTACAAACGCTTCCTTTTTCTCCTAAAGGCATGTTCTTAAATCTCTCTTAAAACAAGATGGCATTCTAAAATCAAGGAAGTACAGTGAGTGGCATGCACTGGCTCTTTTCGTGGGTCCATCAGGGTCTGTGGCTGTACTGATTACATCTGCCCAAACCATTCCTCAAATTCAGCCCATCCCAAGGCACTCTGCTCTCCTTCGTGCCTACTCGCTTTGTGACTCATTATTATACAAGGTTGGTAGGGACAGAAAATATAACTCCACTGAAGAGAAGATTAGCAATATACACGGAAGACAACTTCATAATGAACAAAGAACAAGAAACATCCGTGTGGTGAAACAGCCTTATGCAAGCCACTCACCTGCCCTCCCACAAATCCTTTAGTCCATAAGACATCCCATGATCTTCCATAGCTAGGGTTCCTCTAAATATTATAAACTTCAAGTTGTATAGATTCCCTGAAACCAGAGTCTTACTTCCCCTTTCTCTCTTCCTCTGGAAATCAACTATAAAGGGCATTTGTCTTGTGACGCATGTATGTCCTCACCCCCGCGTTGTCACCCAAAAATGAACTATATGTCCTCTTTCATTATGCATCACAGGCTGTCAGGGTTCCCGACATGATAAAAGGTGGCACTGCATGTCCCTGACTAATAAGAGCTCATTAGTAGTAGCAGCAAACATCAACCATGCCCAAACACTCCATCCAACGCCATCCTCTCCCTCCAAACCTGTGCAGCTTCATTAAAGAGAGTGTGGACCGATGATACTCAGTATGGAGCAGAGATGTAGCCCTTTTAGGGATGTTCTTAACTCCTGGCAGATACAGGACTGTGCTATGCCCTCTTCTGCTACAGTCTAACCCAGCGTCGCACCCAACGGAAGAAGAGTGTTGGACCAAAGTTTATTCACACATTTTCTCAAAATACCTTCCCAAACAACCACAATCTACTCACAGCTTTCAAAGCTAAATTTAATGGAGGTACTACATGCACTTTTGTATTTCTTCTCACTCACTCACTCTGCCTTAAAAGGTACAATATAGGAAGGGATAGGAGGAGGACCCATTATTAGAGCCTAGAGAGGAAGACACGCAGAGAGGAGGAAAGGAAAGTTGGGTTAACAAGAATTGGGCTATCTCTTCCTCCTGTTGGCTCCACCTTTGACCACCCTCTGCCCTGCATGTCTATATTAAGCCCCCTCTGGCCCCCTCTCACTGTAACTTTGTAGCAGAGGGAATAAAATGGACATTGTTCCTTCCCTACTCACCCTAATGTTACAAACACTAACTGGATGCCACCTGCTTTGAGTCTTTTGGTAAAAGGCACATGATAAGAAACCTGGTTTACACAGGTCCTCTGTTAATCACAAGTGATCAGTGCCAACTGGACAGTGGCAGGATGCTCTCTGGTGCTGGAGGACTGAGTGGTACATGGACTTTTTAACTGTGAGTCATTATAGCCATCACTGCGGTAGGCAGAAGGTCAGCAAGAATGTGATTCGGTGTGGCGGACAGTGGAAACCCAAAGCTCTACGGGACTCTCTGCTGCATGTTCCAGCGGGCAACCCACACCTGTGCAGAGAGGTTTTACAAACCACACTAGTGATGACACAGGAGGCGGCAGGAGCTAGGCTGGCCAGAGTCACCAGGTTTAAAGGCCTCACTTTACAGCTACTTTGATGCTTGACTGAAACATTTAATGAGTGTTGTGGGGGCGGGGGTAAGGCAGGGGAGAATTACAAGACACTTAATCTTCTGTAAAACAAAGTATTTCCATATTTTGCCACTGGCCTTATTTCCAGAACACTCTACCCATTTTTGTTGTACAAGAACAACTGACACAAAAGGATAACTACTAGGTAGGAAAAGACAAATATCTACAGAATATGCTGAGACCTGATGAAAATTTCTTGAAGGAAAAATGCATATCATTTTTGAGGTATCTGATTTAGTTTATTGGTAGAACGTAGATCTCCTATCTACCACTACTCAATCACAGTTTACTTCTAAAAAAAAAACAAAAACAAAAAACTATGGTATGATTTTTCAATGATTCTATTCCATGGACCAACAGAAAAAAAGAGAATGCCAAGAGACTTTTGTTTTGTTTTGCTTCTTTTTTAACACAGTTTTGAGATACCTTCCAGGTAAATCATGCAAGAACCATGTTCAATAAACAAGCACATACATTTCAGAGCTATATCATCGGCTGACATCCAAGGAGAAGCCCAAGGTTAATTGCTATGGTTTACTGTATCATTCCAAGTGATCTTGTGCAAGAAAATTTAACTTGACAACTGTTTGAACTTTATAGTCTGAAATTTCATCTGCTTGTTTCATGAGGAGTTTTTCATTACTCTCCTGGGGATATTAATATTGTTTTCTTCTCTTAATTACTCTATGGAAGGAATATTGATTTCATGATTTCCCTCTTCTTTTAGTTCCTAGGAAGAACTAAAAGAAGTTTAGTTCTTAGTTCATTTAGTTCTTAGGAAGAGAACTAAATGCCTGCCTGGCTAGCCCAGGGACATTTTCACTTTCTTTACCTTAAGTCAGCAATTTTCAACTTTTCCATCTCACGGCACACATAAACTAATTCCTAAAATTCTGTAACACACCAAAAAAATTATTTTTTGCTATCTGACAAAAATAGGTATAATTTTGATTCATTCACAGTGGATGACTATTGTTGTGTTGGCTGTTGTCATTTTTTCCTTTGACAACTTGAGGGAAAAGAGGTCAGTGCCCCTGACTAAATAGATGGGTACTGCATGTTTTAAAAATTCTTGGGGCACATGGGTTGAAAATCGCTACCTTAAATAATTGAGGGAGAAAACAAACATCAACACACACCTTTAAGAACTCAGGCTGTGGGGTCAGACTTCTCCGGTCAGATCCCAGTCCCACCAGTAAGCCAGTGACCTAGCAGTGCAAAGGTTACTTCATCCCCTAAGGCTGTTTCCTCATCTCTTAAGACAGAAACACAAATGGCACTGATCTCTTGGAAGATCTAGTGGAGGACTGAAACAGCTAATATATTTGAATAGTTACCTCAGAGCTGGGCAGATGATGACTACTCAAATAATATTGGTTTTACACTATTTTTGTTGAAATAGTATTATATTCACAATGAGAACAGTTTGGCAATGTGTTCTCTGATCCCACAGAGAATAAGGTGGAAATGAAGTAGCAATAACAAATATAATTTCACACACAACACGGTGCCCCAAGGCCAAGGCAGCAGCACCATTTCCACTGTGCATAGCTCACGGAGTCCCAGCCTGAATTCACTCAGCATCCACCTTCCCAATTATGAGAGCAAACACTGAGTGCCATTCACAATGCACTAAGGCAGTTGTGCAGCACTGTATCCAAGGAACTGATGATCTGCTTAGGAGAGGACACACACACATACAATATAAATGTCCTGTGCTGCCTTATTAAATAGCCAAAGATAACCTGTTCAGGTTCTTACAGCATCTTTTATGCCAGACAGCAGAAAACTCTGCTTTGGCGGAAGGTACAAATGCACAGAGATTTGCTCCAAGGTAAGAAGGCCAATGAGTGAGAGCTGCAGAATAAGGTTGGGATATCATTTTCACTTGGCTTAAACTGGAGGTGCTGTTGTGCAGTAACCTTATTAAAGGAGGGGAGCAAAGGGCCATGACAGCAAACAGTGGCAGTTTGGTTTAGCAATGCCACCAGAACTGCAATCTTAGAATCTGAAAATGTTCCAGTTCAGAGCAAACCTTAAAAAAGAGCCTCAGTACAACTCACAGAAGGGACAATGACGCTTGTTCTTCCACGCGTGGACAGCGCTCATCCACCCTCACAGACGCCCTCCTTGACGGCCCTCCCACGACTGCCAGAGGACCGAGAAGCAAGGGATTAAAGAGGAGGCCAAAGGTATCCCAGAAAGGGGATGACTGACAGATAACTACCACCTATGAAATAAACTGAAATCCGTCTCAGTCCTTCTTTTCAAATTGTCCACCCTCCACCCCTAAAATGATGGTTATCACAATCACAAAACATCATTAATCAGAAATCTTCCTGTCCAATGTCCAAGTCTGCCCTAGCTGTTTTCCCCTGGCCCACCGGACCAACCACAGGGGGCCTTTCAGAATTAACTCAACCAGGTATCTGCCCTCCCAAAATGTCTTACGTGGGTCATTCATCTCGGGTCTCTTTTAGAGACAGGAAAGGACTGAGGTCCTGGGGAACAAAATCGAAGTCTGCCGCGTTCCTGTTTGTGTGTAGTTTTGAGACGAGGATCAGGAAGCTCATTGAAGACTGGAGATAGCTGTGGGAGACGCCCCCAGCCTCAGCCACAGATTGACTGCCGTAGGGAGGCTGTTCCCGCTGCACCCCCGTGGAGGCGACCTAACCCCAGCCGCGGGCCCCTCGGAGCTTACCTTAGTCCAGGAGACCATGTAAGGGATCTGCGGGTTCCATGGGGCGGTGCAAGGCAAGTCCACGTTCTCGGAACAAGCCACCTTCACTTCCCGCGCTGCTGCCGCTAGGCTGCAGGCTGCAAGAGGGAGAGAGCAGCGTGAACAAGGAGGAAAGGGGGTGTCGTCGGGAGGCAGGGGGCGACAGGCAGTCTGGGGACCTACCGCAGCCCAGAACTAGGAGCTGGAAGCCGTGCGACATGGCTGTGGGCTTGCCGATCTGTGGCGCCCAGGCGTCAGGCCGACCTCTTTTACCAGCGCTCACAGGGACTTCCCCCAGCACCGACTCAGGGGAATCCCCAGTGCACGGCGGAAGCAGGAGGCGCGCCCTTCCCCTGCCAGCAGCCACCGGGGCGCCCCCGTGCCTGCCCCGTTCCCGCCCCCGCACGCCCCCACGCTAGCGTCACTCCTCCAGCGGCTGGGCAGCAGCTAGAGCAAACTCCGCGTAACGCCCCTGCGCTTGGGGCTTTGCAAATCACCCTGCGTTGCAAATCTCGCAGTAGTGGATGACACCTTCCCGCTGACACGCATAACAGAGCCAGGAGTGAGGCCAGCCTAGGTTGTTTTGTCTTTTTTAGGGAGGTGAAACCAGATTCAGAGAGGTGAAGAGGTTTCTCCAGTCGCCCCGCCTGTCCGTAGTGACGTCACTGATCAACCCAGATTCTCAGTCTCTCCGTATTCTGTGATATTCAAAAACTCACTAGAATTTCCAAGGAACGAGGCAAGTCTATAGTTCTTGGCTTCCTACCTTCTGGTGTGGTTATCAGTCAGTATCGTTCAGCCTGTTTAAATTCTATTTCAACAAAGGAGCCTATTTCCTATTAAAATAAGAATTACACACAGAATTTTGGGGAAAGACAGGAAAAAAAAAACCTAGAAGAAAATAGAAATCACGGATAATCTATCCCGAAGTAACAAATGGTAACATTTGGTGTCTTTACCTCAATGAATAAAAGAGCTATTTTTAATAGTGTGTTCTAAAAACTATTTAGTAACCTACTTGATATTAGCTTAATATTTTGCAAGTGTTTTTACATCATTAAACAGTTTCAACAGCATCACTTTGGTGGCTGCAAAACCTTCCATCCTACAGTTGTGCTCTAAGTTAGGGTTGATTAGTATTAGACACTATTAACCTAGCATTACCAGTCTAGGTAGTGTTAAATTGTTTCTTTAATTATTAATATTACCAACAATCCTGTGGTTACTAAGATGAATTTTCATGCAGATAAACCTTTGCTCAAATAGGGGTTATCATTTTCTCAGAATAAGTACCTAGAGGAAATTGTGCTAGGCCAAAAGGGATTTTACAATTTTGTTAAATAACGCCAAAATTACCTCCACTGAGGCATGCTCCAGCTATACTCCCTCCTGCAATGTATGAGAGTGTCTTGTTTCCCAGCTCTCCTGTCGATATGATTATTAAGCAAAACTTCCACCTTTGTCCATTCAAGCAGTTAAAAAGAATGATACCACAGTCAAATTATCACTTAGCCTTGAAAGTAGTTATACCAATTGACAGTCACACCAGCTATGTGTAAGTGCCTTTTTTCCATAGCCACCACAAGGCTAATTTTTTTAGGCATACAAAAAAAGTATAGGAAATAAAAGAATCACCCAGCGATTCCATTACTGGGATTATACCCTAAGAATCCCAAAACACCAATTCAAAAGACCCTATGCACCCCAATGTTCATAGCAGCACAATTGACAATAGCCAAATGCTGGAAGCAACCTAAATGCCCATCAGTAAATGAGTGGATCAAAGCACTATGGCACATTTACACAATGGAAGACTACACAGCAGAAAGAAAGAAAGAGCTACTATCCTTTGTGACATCATGGATGGAACTGGAGAGCATTACGCTAAGTGAAATAAGCCAAGAGACAAAAGACAAATACCATATGACCTCACCTATAAGTGGAACCTAATCAACAAAACATACGAGCAAGAAAAATATAACCAGCAACACTGAAAGGAAAAAGAAACCAACTGAAATAGATGGGAGGCAGAAGGGGGGTAGTGGGGAAAGCAAGGGGAAGGGTCAAATCAAGGAACATGTATGAAGGACACAGCGACATAGCCAAGGTGGAGAGGGATTGAGAGAGGGAGGTGTGGGGAGGGTCGGGGAAAGTGGTGGCGAGTAAATGGAGACAAATGTATTTGAACAATAAGAATAAATAAAATAAAATAAAAACAATTTTTAATTAAATTTTAAAAAAAGAAAATAAAAGAATCAAACATATCTGTATGCAGTATATTTAATGAAAGAGCTGTTCCTTGCTAGGTCCCGTACCTGGGAATTTAAGCTTTCTTCCAATTTTTCATTGTCATCAACAATGCTGTGTGATGCTGGGGATGTTCAAACCCGATGGCCCCGCAACCTGGGGGCATTATTAGATAATTGCCATCCTGTCCTCCAAGTGAATGTCCCTTTACAGTCCCCTCCACAGGACTTGACATCGGCAGATTTTTTTTTTTCATTTTTGCCAATATAATGAGTGTGAAATACCAGGCCCTCTTTGTTTAATTTGCATGACATTGATTACCAAGAGGGAAGAACATGTTCTTTCTTATGTTTTGAGGTCATTGGTGTCCGTCTGAGGATTACCCATTTTTACCGTTTGGAGCCTTTTACATTGGAGCTGTTTATAAATTCTGAGCCAAATCCTTTCTTGGCTGCGTGCGTGCCAAATGGCTTCTCCACGCTAAGGTTTGTATTTTTCACTTTGTTTAAAGTATCTTTAATGTCCAAAGGGTTTTTTAGAACTATTATTATGTCAGATTTATTGACATTTGTTCCTTGTTTGTTTGTTTGTGCTTCTGCTGTGGTGTTTAAGAAATCTTTTCCTACCCAGGGATCATAAAAACATTCTAATTTTCTTCCAAAACTTTTAAAGTCATACTTTGTCCTATGTTAAGTCTTTAATCCATTTAAATATAGTTTGATGTAGGAAATTAACTTATTTTTTCCATATGAATAAGCAATTGTTCCAATGCAGTTTGCTAAAAGTTCTTATTTCCCCACTGATTTGAAATAGCATCTCTGCTGTATACAAATTTCCATATGTATGTGGGCCTCTTTCTAAACTCTCCTCTGTTTCACCCTGAGCTAGTATCACACTTTATTATTACTTAACCTATAGTTAAGTCTTGCTATAGTGTTGGAGTGAGTGAGCCCTCATAGGTTGATCTTCCTCTTCAAAACTGCCCTGGCATTCTTGGTTCTCTACCTTCTACGTATTCAAATCAACTTGAGAACCTCAAAAACCCCATTTAAATTTTAATAGGAACACATTCAACTTATACATTGCAGAAATTTATTATTTTAGAAATTGATTCAACAGATGCATCAATATAAGATCTTTCCATTTATTTACATCTTCAAGATTTTGTGTAAAAATTTACACAAAAATGTTTTCTACACCTTTTAGTTGATTTATTCCTAGTACTTTTATATATTTATTGCTCTTTTCATAGATAGTGTATATTATCCAAACTATATTTTTCTAGTTGCTCATTGCCAGTAAATAAAAATTTACTTTAGTATAGCCAGCGACCTCACTGACCTTTCTTATTAATGTTAACAATTTGTTCTTAGACCCTCCATTTAGACTTTCATAGTCATAAATTATTTAGAGGGTTCCCCCCACAAAAAATCCAAACATATGGTTTGGTTTTCATTGTTGTTTTTGTTGTCTAGCAATTGAGTATTCTCAAGAATGTGGTCTGTATGATTCACTGCTGTTTAACAAGAAATACTTTGTGGTGTAATGTGTGATATTTTGGTAAATGTGTCGTGTTCTTGGAAGGAATGTGCATTCTCCACATAGATCTCTGTGATCAAGCTTGCTCATTATGTCATTCAGGTCTACATCTTTACTAACTTTTGGTCATTCTAAAGTATTAACTATTGAAAGAGATTTGTTAAAATCTCCCTATGACTGGGCAATTGTCCATTTATCTTTGAAATTGTATCAACTTTTTGCATTGTATAACTTGATGCTATGTTTTAGGCGCCTTCAAGTTATATTATCTTTTCCCAGTGAATTGTTCCTTTTTGTCTTTATTCAGTGACTTTTTTTTCTTCAAAGACAACCCTGTCTACTCTAATTATAATCACACCGCTTTACTGGGGCTAGTGTTTTGCTGGTATTTTCTACACTTTTCCATTCAACTTTTTTTTTTTTTTGGTCCTTAAGTTCTAACTATGTCTTTTTAAAGCTATAGTTAGGTTTTTCTAATCCAATACAACTGACAATCTGTCTTTCTAATTGCGAGTTTAACTTTACTTTTGTTCTGAGTCCTGCTATATTTGAATATCTTTCAGTCACTGTGTCATGCTTTATACCTAACCTGATTTTTCTCTGATTCTTTTTTTCATTTCTTGCATTTAGTTACTATTGACCAAATTTTGTATATACAATGGTGTCCTCTCTACCGGTTTAAAAATTATGCATACAATTTCACATCTTAAGTGATTACCTTTACATACCTTTTAACAAGCATAGCTGATTTAATAATCTAAAGTTCATCAATATTGCCGCTTTTCTCCCCAAATGCCTGAATGCCTGACCTCTGCTAATCTCCAGCACATCTTACAAACTATTGTGACAGTGCCTTCATTCCACCTTGTTTTCTTACTCCCCTATTAGCCTTTTTTATGTGTTAAAATATTTGTTCAACTCTATCTAATATCACACGTCTCATTGCTTCTTTTTAGGGTCAATTGCTTCAGAAGCACATTCTTGATTAATTCTTTCAGTAGAGATCTATAAATGGTAAACGCTTTTCATTTTCATTTGTCTAGGAATGTTTGTTTTGCCCATCTCCTTAAATGATAGTTCAGTTGTAAAGTAAGTTGATGGTTATTTTTTCTTAAGACTTTTAATATATTATCCCACTATCTTCTGGCTTCTTTTGTTGCTATTACAAAGTTCTGGGTAATCTGATGTTCATTCCTTTGTAGGCAACAGGTCTTTAATGTAGCAGTGCTTCTAAGATCTTGCCTTTCTACTTGGTGGTGTTTCAGCTACACTATGTTGTATGTAGTAGAGAATCCTGCATTACTAACTCGTGAAGGGTTGTATCTTTTATTAATTCTGGAAAATTCTCATTTACTATCTTGAAATACTGCCTGACCTTCATTTTTCTTGGTTGTTGCCTTCTGAAACACATAATAGATGTGTGTTGGGTCCTCCAATTCCACACTCCCTGTCCGCAAGCCCCTCAGCACCTTTTATCTGTCTTAATTTCTCTGTGCAGGCCTCTGCACGGTCTTCAGATCTATCTTCCCATTCATTAGTTATTTATTCAATGATATGTAATCTTCAGT